GTGGGTGAAGGCGAGTTGAAGCCCTAACAGTCGCTGCAATCACTCAACATGGCCGAGTCTGTCACTCATTCTGGTACGACTACACGGAAACACCGCAGTGGCCCTGCTTTTCGCTTTTCGTAGACTTGTGGCCGATTCTCGACTAGTTGCATCGATGCTATGCGGGCTGTGAATTCCTTGTTTCGAGATTCGAATCAGCACCTCCGGATTGGCACCGGATCTCCCACCGATGTGCTGCCGGGCCCCTGGTTTCAGGAATCACTAAATGGTCTATTGACGATAAAGTACTATCGGAAGATCTCCATGCTGAGGAACGTCCTGTCCTATTGGTGACCCCCTCAAGAGCACAGTTCTTGACACCAGCAGGCAACAGAAGATGCCATTCAGAAATGAACAGAAACTCGTCTCCCAAAACTGAAAGATTACTAAAAGTCGTTCATATTATGGTTAAGCCGTTGAACATAATATGACACTGAACGTACTGATAACAGTGTTGTATTTTTTTAGAATGTCAGCGGGCCTTTTTTCACATTGCTCCAGTCGCCTACTACATAAGCCATACTCGACAGATTCGCACCTCCTCAAGAGCCGCCATCACGCTGGAAAATGTAGGTTTTAATGTGATCTCACTCAAGCAGTAAAATTTCATATTTTTATGCCTCATGAAACGACAGCTATAGTTTCTTCACATCGACCATTGGCATTAGTGCTGCCAAAATTTCTTGTTCTCGAAGCATAGATTGATTTGTTTCAGGTTCTGTACCGCTGAAGCAAAGAATGAATCAGTAACTGGTAATATCACATATCAGAATTGCATTTCTTTTGCTGTTTTCTATCTTCAGCTTTCACGTTTAACGTTTCTGCTGATCGGCCACTCAACTGCAACTTGCCAATGATAATAAGTAGACCGGAAATCCACACAGTTAAATAAATGAATACTACTCAATCAGTACGAGGATGCCCTGCAAAGCAGAGGACTAAGCCTCTGTTCAGGTATATTTCTTATTTTTGTAAACTGACCTATTTTATATAGCATGATTCATCGTTGAAAAACTTTTTCACCTCCTTATTTAACTATGTGAGAAACAATTTGTGGCTGATTAGACTATTGCAATTTGTCAGGTCCTCATTTAAGGAGTGTGGAAAGTGGCTGTTGTAAACAAAATCGTTTTGACCATGTCCCTCCATTTCGTCAGTGACAATGGTTGTGGACCGTACCATTAAAGTGGTTCTTTGATTTGCGGGCGAAGGCGGTCATTGGATTAGGTGATGCGGCGAAAATTGTATCGGGACGTGAGTAATTGCTCATCGAGCATTCAAGCGAGTCGCGCCCCATTACCGGGTCCTTGGGGTAACCTTCAAGAATCCGATTCAACGTCTGACTTACTGTAGCCCGGTTTTACGGTGGCCCGTAAGGAAGAAGGTAGGAAGAAGAAAGCGAGTGTCGCAGCATCGGCAGCAACCAACATTCCCAGCCTGCAGTCGGCCGGCCTCCAACGACCTTGGTCATTTTCCTCATAATTGGCAAGCCGAGGTCACTATGGTCATTAATCGTTGACTTTACACAATTGAGTACTTCACTAACAAAGTCGTCCTTTGTGTCGCTGATTGCGCCTATTTTCCAGGGCCGCAAAGCGAGCGGTTCCACTGAACGTTATTCTGCGAAGGAGTAAAATAAACGGACCTGTTGAGAAGAAGAAAGTCGGTCACGTGCTTCAGCGTCGTCAGACGGTCGTTCTTCAATCCGCAGTCAACAGGCAGTTTCGCGAGGTCAGCGAAAGTGTAGCTGGCACAGTTTGGAGTAAGAGGCGGAAATTTGACGCTGTTCAAGTACGAAAGAGATCAGTAAAATCCTGTCAATATAACGGTCTAGGAAAAACGACGTAATTAAGGAGATGAGTCAAACTTCAGTTTAATTATTGGTGGACAGGGAATAAAGGTTTGGGTTATATTGATAGGATCCACAAACGATGATGTGTATGGTCTTTATCCGCTACAGTATCCATGAAGACCTCATAAAGGCTTGCCAGCGACACTCGAAGCAGTAAGCAGGGCTGAGGAGAGTACGTTCTAACTTTAAAGACTGTCCCGTTTGGATGCTAGTGTTTGGAAAACTGTGGCACATAAAATTTTTATTACTTAGGGCTTGAAAATATTGGCTTATTGCCGTTGGCTCATTTTCAAAGGTCGGGAATTACAAACCTGGGTTGCACTCTTATTCTAGCTCTGTGAATCCCAGACGAACAATGATAAAATACAGCAACGGTGTCCCGTATGGTTAAGTAGACGATAGAGTTTATTCCTTGGGTAGTGTTATAAAGTTCCCACAGTAGCAAAGTAGCCATGCACTGAATTCAGTTTAACAATGAGACATATTACAGTAACGGTAATTTGCAAGTAAGTAAATAAATGAATAAATAATTTTACCATTTGAATAGAGTCATTTGTAGTTTTAGTCGAAAATAGCAATTTACACGTACAGCCAAAGAATCGGATCCAAGGTACAAGCACCCGAGAAAGCATCGAACAGGTTTCCCAAGGTACTGTTTAAATTGGACCCTTTGTTTGCATGCAAATACTTTTTCAGTAATTCATGTAGTTCATATCTTTTGGCATGTTTTGAATAACGTATTAATGTCGTGAAGAGTAGAGTGAACAAAAATTTTTGTGGCACTGTGCTGTGATATCTATATAACGTAGTTTACGGTGTACTTGTTCAGTGTAGTGCGCCCTGACTCACTTCACTTGACTCATTGGACATCAAAAGGCGAGTCGCGTAAACCGAAACTAAATTCAAGAACAACACAGGCGAAGTTTCACGCCTGACCGTGGTGGTAGTATAGTCAAGACTGATGCTCAGCATAATGACAAATCAGGTGTGTAAATCAATTACCAGATTGCATAATAAACCCATCGATGGGTGTAAACAAATAACCAAATAAATAATAGTTATGTAAACTTCGGTAAACATGCGTTTATTGTTAAGCGGACGTCAAGTTGCCATGGCCAACGAACTTGCTCTCCAACACGCACATGCAACCGTGGGCCAGAAGAAGTGCCTGTCGCCCATGGCAATCGCTCGAGTCAAATCGCATGAGGTGCAGGCTGCGGAACGGACTGGCGGGCGACTGCAGCCGTCATGGGCCACCGTACGGTGCAATGAAAGAAGCTGCCTGGCCCGAGGGCAAAAAAGGCGCCCCGGATGCGACCGGTTGCGGTGCGAAACGAGTACCGAGGAGACGGCGCGGAAGAAAGTGGCCGTTGACGGTCATTCAGCTGCGTAATTGACCACCATTATGTCGCGCCTGGCTCATTCATTTCGCACACACACCGACGACGACCAACAAATCGACACCGGCGACGTTAACGCTCTTTTTCGGTGAATAACGGCCCACGATTCTTAGAACACAATTGCTCTCGGTTGCTCGCCTACCGAACCCTTCGGGCATCTTCAGCCTTGGCAAAGAAACAGCCGGCAGCACCGTAAGCGGCCATGTGCAGGGGTTTGCTTTAGGTGCAGTACCGTAATCTCGAAATCCGTGGTCACCTACCACCACATCCTCACTCACTATGTCATAAGTATTTCCTCTCTCCTCCATAATCTCAGATAAGGCCGAAACGGAGCCAGATTCAACCTGCAGAACAGCGGAATTCCATGGACTGCTTCCACAATCTTTTTCTGGCCTATGGATCCATTACGCACGCTTGACGTGGCCCTGTGAATTCTCTGAGTCACGAGAAAACTTTAAGGATCCTGACTGTCTGAGTCAACGATTGACATTCCGCTCTGAGACAAATTATGGAATTTCGAAACCAAAAAGAAAGGCATTCGTGGATTCTTCGTGATTCTGAAAGAACAGACTACTCTGACTATTCCAAAGTCATTGAAAGTTCATTTATGAAGTACTGCACGTAGGCCATCATGAACTTCTGTGACTGTTTATTTAATGTCACTTGTTTACTTTAGGGGTAACCTTAATAGCGCTGCTAAATCCAAACAAACGTAAAGGAGGTTCATATCCTTGGGGACGTCGCTTTCCCTTAAGCTACAGTAATCGACCCCATATGAGGCATATTTACTTCATGCATCTTTTGATAGCCGTTTCGACGTTGGCAGTCAAGAGTGCTTTACTCATCAGTGCAGCGCTTTATGGTATGTAGTCCGGCATTTGACCGCACGATTTTTCGCCACCTACCATGTAAGCTG